AGTGTGCAAAATACATGACGAGCGCGAAACAGATGTGGAACAAGCTTGACAAGTCTTGGACATCCAGGAGAAGTGTGAGACATTAAAAAAAGAATGAGACAAACAGGAAAAGTGTCGTATAGAAGAGTTTCTCTGCAAAGCAGGGTGGAGTCTTCAATCTAGAGAAGCAAGGTATCAGAGTCTCAAGTCGATCACTGAGCCAAATCTCGCTTGGTTGGTTGAGTCCCGAGTTATTTCATTTAGATCACTTTGATATATCAACAAAGCTCCTCTCTAAAATCCTTCGTATAAATGTGCTGTGATTTCTATGTTGGTGGAATCTAGTCATTCTTATGCAATGACCACAATTATGGTGTCCCACTACTCGACTGGGTTGAGAGACTTCTGCCAATTCATAAAGAATTCCAGGAATGTCAATCAATAATCGGTAGTTTATTTTTCACGTTACATGAAATACACTAAAGGAATACAGAAAGTAAAAAGAAGCAACGATGCGATGGCTTAATCCAGGGGTTCTCAACCCCCACGGGTTCACGAGCAGATTTTCAGGGGTACTTGGATGAGAGTTGAGTTTTCATGTGTTGCTATTTTTTATTGTCCTTTACTATCAGAGGAAAATGCGTTTCGTTTGAAAATTTGCGTGGATTTTCCCTGATGGCCTCGGGGGGTACTTAACAGGAAAAAGGTTGAGAACCCCTGCCTTAATCAATCAATGTAATCAATACGTTGGCTTAATCATATCGCGAACCAAGGCTCTCGTCAGGTTACCATTCCAACAGTCGGGTATGAAATTAATTATTTGTTATTTGTTTTTGGAAGCGTGGACTTGATGGTGAAGAATCCGTAACAGATGAGCGGTTACGTGAGCCACCCTATGGCGGAGAGAGGTCCAGCAAAACTCTAGCGCTTAACGCGAAACCACGCAGGATATTTCTGATTGCCAAGTTAGATAAAAACAGCTAGCGGGTTCAGCCTGAAGCCGGAAACATGGGGTTTCAATAGTCTTGAGGGTCTAAAAATTGCTATATAAGATACACAAAGATGTCTTTTTTTTACATTTTAAAAGGCTACTGACTAGGCCCTGTGCCCTAATCACGTGCTTATTTTGTTTGATGGTTGATTCAGCCCTGACTGAGGCAGAGCCGTAGGTGCGACCAGAATTTGCAACGTGTGTTTTTTTAAAAAGCGATTTTGCGGCATTTTCTGATGCTCACAAACTCGTATGCCTATTACCGCAGTATTTTACTGATATCCATACGCTCATTGATTGCTTACTATCAATCAATTCTTTCTCCAAACCGAAATAACTCTGTGGACAGCTTTCTATGATATCGTTAGATATCCTTGGATGCTTGTACCATGCGTTGGTCAAAGCAAAAGGCGCAAATGAGCGTCATATTCCCGTATTTACAGTATAAAGGGTGCGTATTATACATTGACATACAAAATATCGGAAAAATATTAATCTTTATTTTATGCTCAACTGGCTGATAATCTCACAAATATTAATCTTAAGTGTTTTAATTTCACTCAGCAAAGTCTGTTAGGATCAGATCATGCTTGTTTCAGTAGAACCATGACCTATCCAACGAAATTTAACGTTAGTAAAAGTAGCAAAAATCTTAAACAAAGGTGAAATAAAAGTTCAGCTGTACATAGTTAGTCTCGTTCAGTTGAGGCAATAACCTATTATTACTAGATCATACATTCGGAAGGCGTAAAGTAAGCATTACCAATGAGTTACGATCAGGAATGCCCAACCAAAACAATTATTGTCATTTTTGGCGATGACGCGTCAAGCTTCGAGACAGATCATTTTGGCTTGTATTGGGGACTTTAGGAAGGGGCCTAGGGGCATGTAATTAATAAACTAGAGTCAAGTCATGACCCTTGTGACACATTCATGGCTAGGACGCTCCAATTTTGATTTTAAAAGAACAGCTGTACATAGTTAGCTACTGTCAATGTCTTGCCGTTTCTCTAATCAAATCGGCAAAACTTTAGGGTCATAAATCATTATACCTATGTCACTCAAATTAGTTACCGGCCGACGACCTATTTTTGAAGTGCGGTGTGTAAAAACACGCTTTGTCTTCGGGACTTATCAGCTTTCAGTCACACCTACTGTATCATTATTAGGTTTGCATAAATGATGGAAATTTATCATTTACAAAGTGTAGGAGTGATTTTTTGCTATCGACAAGTTCAAAAAAAAAAGTTCGCGTTATCGACTAGGTTATATTGAGGGCTTATATTACAATCATTATTTAAATCCAGGTTAGGTCCTATTTTCAGATTAGGTCTAGCAGGACGTCCCGTTTTTGGGGCAACACGGCAATACCAAATTTAACGAGATTATAGGACACTCTACGCGAATCTCACTCTGTGTCGACACGAAACTCGACAGCCATTATTTTGATTCATTGTTAAGTAATCAATGGTCAAAAAATAAAATAATGATTACTGACTGGTGCGACGTCATTTCAGTCTAGAAATGCCGTACGGTAACAGATTATTTATGTTCTAATATCCGAGATTTTTGATAGTGGTCACACAGTTTAGAAATTCTAATTTGGTTGAAACCGTCAATGATAGAGTTGAGATTAATGCAATTATGACCGTGACTCATGAGAATGCTCATTTAGTTCAGAACTTCATTGCAATTTTCGGGACATGTTCACAACACGACGGAAATACTTTTAGTTCGCGAGGCATAACCAATTTATAATCATACCATATTTTAACTCCAATCTGACTAGGTCATTCAAAAAATATATCACTACGACATCTCTGTAACGTAATAAGGCCTTCCAAAATATACTAACTGTCATCCAAGACGCGCAGCGATCAAGCGAACAAGCTATTTATCCCCTTTTCACGTCGTAACGATCCTGTAATGAGAGAGATCGCCGGCGTTAGTGAGTTGGCGAAGATTTCGAACGATCGTAGCTATACTTTGGCTAGGTCTTTGGCTTAATTGTGACGTCGTAGTGACGTAATCTTTGGATGATGGAGATAGGTGGGGGTTAGGAATAACATATGTAAAAATAGTTGTGCCACGCCTAATACAAATATTCACATCGTTTGGTGCAGTGGTTCCAAACTTTTTTTTTGCGACCCCAATTCCCATAAAATCAAAACCCACAGATACTCGTTACCCCACTACTAGAAACGTATGATAACTTCAGAAATCAGTACTGTATATCAGTTTGATTAGCTCAATGAGAACAATGTACCCGTATATCGACTGCAAGTAAACGTTGACGGTGAACATTGACCCAAAAATATGAGAACGAGTCCGGCAATGCGACGGAAAACGGGGAAAATTCGGAAGATTTGATAACACATGGCATCGTATTAAAACCACACTGTAAAAATCTCTTAAATCAGATATATAACGGTTCTTTGCCGAAACATAGACGGACTTGATAAAATGTGGTAGATTGTAAGGGAGTCTATGATACTTTGAAAATAGTGAGATTTGCAAATAGTAAGATGCTTCTCAATATACATAAATTTTTAAATCTTATTTAGTATATTTCAACAGTGTCTTCATTATTTTAAGTAAAACGTTAACATATTACAGATTGCTTCAATATTAATTCTAAAGTAAAACAGGGCATGAAAGGAAAATAGGAAAAACGTCTACGGAATCACATCTTTCAGGTGCCTTTGATTATGGTAAAACTTGTGGTTTTGTGTTTGACTACTCTGAACGCTTCGAAATTGTGTATGAAACGTCGTATTTACGTATTATTGCATTACGAAAATGTTCACTTTTTTGAGGGGGCGATGTGAACAAAACACGCAGCCGACTAGTAGATATTGCACACGTGCGCACAAAGCGTTTTCGCAACTGATCGAAACCTCAAGTGTAAATACTCCGCCTGGTAATCAATACCAAACTTGTCAAATACATAATTAAGACCAACTCGCCAAATAAAGCAATTTTGCTTTGTATATTCCATAACCAAGCCGCTACACTGATACAAAATAACAAAATCAACATAACTTCTCGCAGCCTGGAAAAAATATCTATTTCGCGTACCAGCGGTTCAAGAATTTATTCGAATGTAACATGATCAAAAAAGCTATAAAAAGAATCAGGGAATTTTGTCGCCTTTGGACGATAAATGGTGGAATTATTGCTGAAAAATCCGGAGTTGGTAAATTTTACGGTACTTGCCGATCAGCACAAATTTAACTTTCCAATTTTCAAATCCTATTTGCTTGTGTGCGCATGTTTGACAGAAATTAGGCGACCCCGGAAGATCTTTACGCGACCCCAATCCAACAGTTTGGGAACTACTGGTTTAGTGAACATGCGCTCGATTTTCTGATGTAAGCGTTGGTTTCACAGATATGGTGACATAGTGCACTAGATTCATCCGTGTTTGTGATTGCAGAATTGCATTCTGTGTAAACTTTCACTGAGTATGTGGTTTGTATTGAGTTCCAGATATACTAATTAGCTTTAGATATATTAGAAATCCGTCTTGTCGAACAAACTCCTTTCAAGACAAGTCACCGGTTATTGGAACCTGGGACAGACACTTCGTACACGACAGGTGTGTTTTACAAATTTTATTTGTTCACTCGAAAAATATTCAACTGCTATAAGTTTAATTTTCAGTCACCCTGAAAAATATTGATTGATTTAAAGTTTATTATAAAAATCCATGCGGGCATATCCGCCACTGGTACGTGTTAATCATATAGATTCCTAACTTTAAAACAACAAAACTTTACATATGTCATCTTGTGGTCGAAGAAGTCTGCATACCCATATTTAGCTCAATTTTCAACATTGAAAAGCACCACTTCTTGATCTACGTGGGTTACTCTCTTGTCACATCTCATTTCCGGTTGACCCTTCGCTGACGAATGATGTTTAGAAATACAAATGCGAACCAACAATAACTATTCCCTTTTATACTGCTTTGGTATTAACACAACCATTTCACTATTATATATTACTTTATTAATCTGATTAATAATTTCTTGACACACATAATCATAAAATATAAACAAATGACTAATGCCCAGGAAATAGGGGGAAAAATGTTTGCAAAAAAATCCAAAAGCGGCGCTTCACTCCAGAATAACAAAATTAAGATTGTGAAAATACAGGGTAGTAAAAAAGCTTTTTGCTTGTTTATGATGAAGCTTATTTTTTTAGGGAGATTATTTTTACAATACATTCTACAAAACTTGGCGCTGACAAACCTAAAACTTGCGAATAAAACTTGCGACTCAGACTTGGTGTCTCCGAATAGCTACCAAGTAAAAACACATTGTCAAATGATAATAAAAATTCATGAACAACAAAAAGCGGGACTACTGTACGAATATAAAAAAAAAATTTACGTAAAAGTAAGTTCAAATCCCTGCTCATGATAGTAGTTCTATGCACTAACAATGCTATGTCTATGCTTGTTTAGAGCCTGGTTCGTAAAGACAAATTGAGCATTTTGAAATTGAGTAATATTTAAAAAGGAATAAAATATAAAAATAAGAATCACTCTAATAACAAAGTCAAACAGAGCTTTGTAAGATTAGTTTGGTAAATCGTCAGGATATGTTTGAAATTGCGCAACCGAGTGTTGGAAGATGCCGGACTGCAAGTAGATCGCGTAGCTACTCGATGTTAGAGAGTCGTAACAGGAATCCCAACACAGTTCATTAGATACCAGAGCACCGAGTTTCCTTATTTAGGGTGGTCACTCTTATTTAACATATCAGTATGGAAAGGTCTGTGATAGCCGGGATTACAAATCTAGGGCTCAAATACTTAGTAGCTCTATGCGTTAACTGCTTGTTCAGAGCTTTGTTCAGAAAATTTGAGCGTTTATGTGAAATACTAGATTACGTACGTTATATAATATAAAGCATGCCGAAACAACTGTATATTGTGAGACTGAATAAAAATGAAGTTGTGAATAAATCAGAGATGGTCACGATATATAAAGTTGTGAAAATCTCGGGTTCAAACCCCATTCCCGCCACCTCACCATGGTCAAAGTATCTGCTTTTTCATGTTCTCGTGAATCTATTTCATAAGACGTTTCACAGTTTCATCTCAAACAAGGCTGTGCGAGCGGCCACTGATACATGAAAAGATGATATTTTTGAGTATTAAATTTATTAGACCCTGAGTGAGGTGGTGGGCTTGGGGTTTGAACCCGAGATATTCAACTTATGATGCCAACATAGTCAAGTTCACTTAAACCGGATATATTTGAATGTAATAAAATACCAGACTAGCTGTTCAAAATGAGCGGTAATATGAACAGTGAAATCACATTAAAATAAAATAGTTTCAAAAAATCATTCTCATCGAAATCAAAATTAGGGAAAATAAAATCGTCTGAATATTGAAATCTTGCTTCAACAAATGATTTCATGAAAGTCAAGTCAATTTTGTTTATTTCTGTTGTTGCTCAGATCTTCTTTGGCGAAGGTAAACCGATTTGACGTCATGATCGTACATCCCCACCCTCAGTTCCTATAACAAACAATGAATATTCATAGAAATTTATACAGAATCACAGATATCGGGGATAGGAAAGCTGATCAGATGGTTTGAACCATTCAAGATAGATTATCACTTCTATCAATGTTTGAAATGGCAAAGTAAACTCTGAATAACAATCAAATCTGCTGCACTGGATTCATTGTAGGGACTGTTGCTTAGTTACCTCTTGTTAACCGTCTTATAGATTTTCCACTCCGCCGATATAATAATTTCCACCCTAATTGTAATATTATGAGTCAATGAGTAAGAAATGTTTTCACGTCATTTTCCCAAATTATCAGTAAATTTACAGGAAAATCACAGTAAACTTGATATGAACACGATTTTACAGTTTTAAGCAATAATCGATCACGCTTGGCCACTTATGAAATTTGTCTGGTTTACCTTTTACTATTGTTTCATGAAACATGGACCAAACATGGATTTTCTGAGTTTTCGTCTCACACCAACAACCAATCACTGAGTCCCCACACATGCATCAATATCATGTTTTGCATCCTTAATGAAACGAGAAACATTTGAAATTGAATGTAAACAATTCTCACCGTCGTTGGAATTGAATCCAATTTCCTCTGAATCATCTCAATATCTTCAGGTTCTACTCTGTAGTGCAGCCACATCCTCTCAGTGATATGAGGCAAGATGTCGCAGAATATAACAGCTTTATCATGTGGGAGAGGTGGATCATTCTATAAACAAGGAAGCAATTCTCATATATGGGAACACGAAGGACATCGGTACCGGTGAGGAATTAGATGAGCATGGTCGGAGGACAAAGGTGACCGGGACAGTGAAGCATGATGGAATAAAAAGTGTTCCCCTTCAATTAAATAAAAACAGCAAAATTCGAGTAAAATATCGGGCCGCACGGGGCTCGAAGTAAATTGATTACCCTTGTAGAAAAAAGTTTCATTTTTCAAAAATGAAACGATTGATTCATTAGTTGCGGTGAAGCGACTTTCACACAACAAGAATTCAAAAAAACTTTCCATGTTTGCACTCAGTATAATGAGAATACACATTGGTCTTGAGACAGTATGAATTGTTTCAGTGGAAAAGAATAAATGACGTCATAAGCGGTTTGAATATGAAAGGGTTGATTTGATACCATACTATGACATCACACTGCTATTTTTGTCTCCGGGATAATATGAGCCAAAAGTTGCAAAACTAAGTTTATGAAATGCTGGGTTAATCCTAAAACGGTTTCAATGTGAATTATAGGTTGGTTGATTGACATTAAACAGACTTTTATAATCACTGTGCAGTTAACTTGGTCGATATCGTAAATATAATGAGTGAAAAATATGCGTAAATTAATCTTCAATGCGTGAATATACATTGGAAAAGTACCGCATGGGACGGAAGGATTAAAATTATCTAAATCATTTATTTCCAGCCTTAATAATTTAATTCCGAATTTCACAATATATATTCTTATTCAATGCATTCAATTTACTAATATTTAAGAAAATTACGGACGTAGTTTAGATACATTTGGCCAATTACTTGTCTAAAGCCTTGTATAGAGTCTGCATAACATCTGGATTATCGATGTAAAAGACGACCCCACAGATTGAAGAACCCGAGTTCAAGCCCAGGTTAGTCCAACGGTCTTCACTTTTTGTTCTTTTTAAAATTTATGTAACTGCTTATCTAACGCTTAATTCAGTGTGATATGCCACTTTACACAAACTTTTTTTCTCAAAATTGGGGGGGGGGGGATCAGAAAAAAGTGTTTATTTAACGTGTCTCGGACCTAATTTGTATAAATTTGGTCAATTATGGAGAATGGAGTTTGCATAACAGCTAGATTACAGGCATAGTGAAGTGATATGCTTGTCTGGTGCCTTGTTCAGAGTAATATGATAAAGGAATGTTGTTGAAAGAGAAATAACCGAACAAGTAGAATCAACTCACCTTGACTGCTTCATTTATAATCCTTCCCCGCTAAAACAAAATGAAACTTTGTAAATTAAACAGTGATGGCATTTGTAGTATGGCTCGGAGTATTACTTAAAAAATGATGGAATTAGCAGTCTGACATCTTGAGTTCGAGCCCTGGTCAAACCAGTCAGCCCAAACTTTTTATACCTTCTAGGATATTTTGAATTAGATCAGATGTCGTCATACTGATAAGAGGAACGCCACAATAATCATTTTAGACTCTGATTACAATAAAAAAAATTTATTATTTTACAAGTTTTAAAATTTGTGACGTGGCCGAGTTCAAATCCAATAAATTGATAAGTTTAAATAAAAAACTTCAAAACCTAAGAATAAGAGTCGACACTTTGTACGAAAAGAAATTCATGCGGTAAATATAAAACAATTTCATACTGACACTGTAATTCAAACAAGTGAACTCACTTCAGTAACAGGTTCGGTAGCAAGTATCTGTAAAGCAAAAGCTAAACTTTACAAAGTAGAACTATAGATCTGGTTGCAAAGTCAGAATACAAGTAAAATAAATAAAGTTTAATTAACAAATTTTCTGTATTGCTAGCGACCACCCTGTATATTTGCTTATGCATAGATAACACACTGGTTATATGTGGCCAAGAGATCAGAAAACCTGGGCGAGACCTTTGTGCGAAAACCTCGAAAAAGTAAAAGGAATTTGACAATATTTTCTGTGATAGTCAGTAGTTTATTTTATCACAAACCGAAAGTACACATTAGATGAACATAGTTAGAATGATAAAAAAATTAACTTCAGTGGAAATGGAGACGCAATAGAAAGTGAAAATCGAGAGAAGCAGAATCGATTTTGAACAAAACTAACGCAAAAGAAGATCCTATTCGTGAATGAGCCGATAGTTGTTTTACTTTATTTATAAAACTTGATTCAAATTTATTACAAAGCGATTTTTTAGCAACAGTGGCGTAACCTGGTCAAAGAAACGTTTCCAAATTGTTAGGAGTAATATGAAGGTAAATTTAAATTCATTGAAAATTTTACTACTTTGCTTAGAAAGACAAAAACGAAGAAATAGAATATCTCGGGGGGCTTGGGGAAAACTGGTGCAGGGAGTAGTTTCATCGTTTCACATAAAACGGTTTGCAACCTTAATTTTTGCTGGGGGGAACCCTTGGTGTGAACCAGTAATCACAGGGGCGACAACTTGCTTTTCAAAACTCGACAATTATGCGTAGTTTGAACTGAGCACTAGAGGGTCGCAGTCGAGATGATGTAACCAAGCTGGTAACACGCAATAAATACATTTGAATCGATATTTTTTCCGTGGCAAACTTACAATGACTGCGGAAAAGAATCGACATAGCCTAATCTATTACACACTGACCGAGGTAAATGTTCAAAGGATTGGACTCGAGATCCATAACAAATAAATTTAACTGACTCACTTTTTCTTTGACTTCATTCTGAATAGAAAAATAATTTCATTGAGAACAATTTGAAGCAATAGAGATGAGTAGCTTACATAGCATGGTATGGAAATAAAAAGGTAATATTGCATTGAAATATCAAGATAAAACGAGAATCACTTTTGATCAACTCACCGGGAATCCAAAAGAAGCCTCCTTTATCTGCAAATAAGAGATTAAACATAATGAATTATGAGCATGGTGTGGCATTTGTTTAAGTAATGGCTACGAAATTGTTAAGTGGATGACGCATCGGCTGTTACATTAACCTGTCTTTACCGCATTATTTACTGAAGTGTGGGAATGGGGAGGTCTGCTTTATTTTATTGTTACATTATGTAGTCCAGTGGTTCTCAACCTTTTTCAGTTCGCGGACCGGTAAAATTCCAAAACAAATTTTGCGGACCGGCGGACCTTCAAAATTAACCAAGAATGTCATGAATACAATTACGGCAAAAGTAGGCGGTGCAAAAGAAGAGATATATATAATCCAATTTATTGAGGAATTCGCTGCTGTCGTTTCGATGTTATACGTTTTAAACGCGGCTCTAATAAAGTTTCTGCAAGGCGACGTGAAGCGTTGACTTCCACACAATTTCTCTGTTTGGTCTTGATGAGAGGTAACGTTGAAAAGTTTTTCTCACAAAGGTAAATTGTACAAAAAACCAGCAGTAATTTAATGGCTCTGTCACTGAGCTCGGGATATTCGTTTTCAAGAGCATTTCGGGGCATGTTGTAAAAAGTTGAAGTAGCAGTCTCTTCCTATGTCCTGTCAACACCACCATCTGGGTTTTCATGCCTCCATTTTACTATCAAACTTCGCTAAATTATAAGCCTACTGTCAAATTACGGAACGTGCAAACTTTTCAATCAGGTACCCTACTATGTGCTATCAAACTACTCGGTTATGAAGTAAGCCGCCGTTATGAGGCCATAGATTTAACGAACATCCAGCCGTTCAGGGCTTAAATCAGGGGTGACGAACCTATTTGCTATCGCGAACCATTTTAACCAGTCACCGCTGATTAAGCGCTTTTTAAGTCTTTCTACCTGTCAATTTTTATCAACAAAAACAAACAACTGCATTCATACGGATATATTGCAGCATAAAATAAAAAGGAACGGTCAATGAATATTTTGTTCAGTGGCGAATTTTGGAAATTTTTAGCTTTACTAAGCGCTTTATATAAGGACGAACAGATGAGTCGAGATGACTTGGCAAGTCTCAATTGCATACTAAGATTTTCGTCTGTCAGTCATGAGCTGTATCGATTAAGTTGGGATATTTTGTGGCATCATCTCACTCGGCCGCGAGCTCCGCCCGGCTTGAGCGTTCAAAATCCGAATTCCTGTTCGATTACCGCAGCATTTTTAGTCGACTACCGGGGTATCACTGTACAATCAAAAAAAATAAATTGTAGTCTTTGATATTTTATCGCAGATCTAGGGATTTCTCTAACGTTGACATCAAGGAAATAATCTTTAGTGGTAGCATTGCGGTAGAGCGGAAACTGTTTTGCAAGAACAGATCAAATTTGTATGATTCGTAACAATGCAAAAATACGAATCAGAAAATACGAAAAAAAAATATAATCCGGGTAGTTTGAAACACTATTTTATAGCTGTGGATTGTTGTGATATTTCATAGTAATGTTCCTATTTTGTCGACGCAGCCGCAGGTTATATTAAACACACAAATTCAAATTAATAAAGCAAATTATGAATAGACTCGCATTGGCCGATTGCATACTTTGCGCAAATGCAGAATCATCATGCCTAGTTGTGGCGACAGTTTTATAGTAATTTTCGGATTCTTTTCAATCCCCTTCCCCTTTTTGGTAATTTTGACATTGCGCTCAAACGTATTTCAACCTATGTCTCATTGAACCTTTCTTCATGACATTTTGTGTCGAGTTAAGATGCAAAATTCTAGTTAATAATGCTTCAGGGACGTATTTCGGGAACTTTTGTACAAAGCCCCCGCCATAAAAAACACTACAGCCTCCGTTCAGCTAAAATAAAATTAGAAATAATCCAGTTACGGTTTTATAGAGTGAGGGCTAGAAATGTAGATTGCGCCGGAAATTCAAATCTTCCTTCTCATTACGAACCTGAACCGCAACTGTATATTTACTATTCCAGAACGTGGTGTTTTTCTGCTTCGGAAGATCCGCATTTGGCAAGACTTCGAATACAGAAAATGTGAATGAATCCCTCCTGTGACATATAACCGATTATTGAAACGTGGGCATTTTTTCAGGATCTTCCGTTGTTTTAATCATTGAGCTGAAGTTATAAACTTTTTATTACTTTCAAATATCACGTGTATCGTGCGCCGAAACATTCCACAAAATAACGTTACCCCTTCTCCGTTAATCTTTGTGCGTTTTCTGATAAGATAGCGTAACTATGCCGAAGACAATGGTCATTTTGATTCATTGTAAAAGGTATTGAATAAATTAGATGTCAATGATGATCGATTAAAATAGATGTATTGGAAATAGTGTTGCCAGTAATATTAATAATACTGACACTGAATGCTTCGCGGGCCGCACGAAATTCTCTGGAAACATCGACAGTGGACTTCTCATCAAGTTTGGTTGTTAGACCAATACCGGTACTACGATTCAATAGGAGTTAAAAAATCACAAAATGAATGGACATGCAGTCAATACTTTGTATTTTGCAATTTGCTTATAATATATTTATATTGGAATATATTTGGCGGACCGGCAGCAAGGTTGACGCGGACCGGCTGTTGAGAACCACTAGTATTAGTATTCGAAATAGGAAAAAACGAAGATTGCAACTGTTTATATGAAAGCTCATCAATAGCTCACACATAGTTAGGTTAAATATGCACTTGGTCCAAGGAAAACTATTTTTTAAATATTTTCAAAGAAAAAAATTTGTCAAAATTATGATATTTTTCGCATAATCACTAATTATCCACAATATCGGTCGATATGGATCGAATATCACTGATTACCAACACAAGTTATGCGGAATGTCAACAGCAAGGATATGCAGTAGCTTAGTTGCTTGACTAAAGCTTTGTGCAGAGAGAACACTCAATCACCTATTGAATTAAAGGTGATCAAGCGAGGATATAAAAACAAAATTTTAAATCGGAGAAGTGAGTGGAATTGTGACGATGTCTGAGCGGATTTAGTCTGATGTTAGAGTCAGAGCTGTATTGTATAATTTAGTGGAGTCTGATATCAGACTACAATTTTGGAGTGAAAGATTGTTGACAGAATGTTGCATTTGTGGAGTAGGGAGTGGTGGTGTTGGGAGTCAAAATTTTAATCAATCAGGATTTGAAATGTTGAATTTAGCGTCTGATTAAAATTTTCTTAGTAACATTAGAGGCCTGGTACTGCTAAAATATCTGTAAAATTACCAGATATTACCTGTGATTCATTATTATTGCAACTGATACAAATTCTTTTACAATGACTTACCAAGCAACACCTGTCAATTATCATGGACTGTTGTTGGATCGATTTAGTGAAATTAAAGACGATTTCAATTAAATAGTAGGTTTATTCAACCCTGACCTTGATATTCGAACTTTGCATTGATGAAGCAAGGAGTTCGAGATCAGATGATGTGAGAGGTACACCATCCAGCCATAGGTCATCGAGACGAGAACAACGACCGAGAACAGATGCCAGAGTGAATTTATCACTTGGGGTGAGATGTATGAATCTGAGTTCAATCTCACGGATGGATGATTTGATGACGTCATCAGCGCTATTACCACAATCATCGAGCGCATGCATGAGCTCGAGTAGATCTTCCCTCCGTGCTGCCTCTGTTCCTTTGAACTTACGTTGAAACCAGCCAGGTCGAATCAGACCCTTCAAGCTTGATAACAAGATCGATCTCTTATTCTTCAGATCAATACCTTGGAAGCAGAACGTTGCAGTCAGAAAATTATTCATTAAATCATAAAGTTTGGTTTACTCTGGTTCTCTAACGATTCTGCCAATGGAACCAGTGGAGCGTGACTAGTCAAAATAACTTACTCAAAGTTTGGTTTACTTTGGTTGTCTAACGATTCTGCCAATAGAATCAGTGGAGCGTGACTAGTCAGAATAACTAAATCAAAGTTTGGTTTACTTTGGTTCTCTAACGATTCTGTCAATAGAAATGGAGCGTGACTAGTCAGAATAACTTACTCAAAGTTTGGTTTACTTTGGTTCTCTACCGATTCTGTCAATAGAATCAGTGGTGTGTGACTAGTCAGAATAACTTACTCAAAGTTAAATTTACTTTGGTTCTCTAACGATTCTGTCAATAAAATCAGTGGAGCGGGACTAGTCAGAATAACTTACTCAAAGTTTGGTTTACTTTCGTTTTCTAACGATTCTGTCAATAGAATCAGTGGTGCGTGACTAGTCAAAATAACTTACTCAAAGTTTGGTTTACTCTGGTTCTCTAACGATTCTGCCAATAGAATCAGTGGAGCGTGACTAGTCAGAATAACTAAATCAAAGTTTGGTTTACTTTGGTTCTCTAACGATTCTGTCAATAGAAATGGAGCGTGACTAGTCAGAATAACTTACTCAAAGTTTGGTTTACTTTGGTTCTCTACCGATTCTGTCAATAGAATCAGTGGTGCGTGACTAGTCAGAATAACTTACTCAAAGTTAAATTTACTTTGGTTCTCTAACGATTCTGTCAATAAAATCAGTGGAGCGGGACTAGTCAGAATAACTTACTCAAAGTTTGGTTTACTTTGGTTTTCTAACGATTCTGTCAATAGAATCAGTGGTGCGTGACTAGTCAAAATAACTTACTCAAAGTTTGGTTTACTCTGGTTCTCTAACGATTCTGCCAATAGAATCAGTGGAGCGTGACTAGTCAGAATAACTAAATCAAAGTTTGGTTTACTTTGGTTCTCTAACGATTCTGTCAATGGACCTTTCCCTGAGCACCGATTTCCTTGTTTACTTCGTGACATTGGCCAATCAGCCATATGCGAAAAGTGACGTAACAATGCCCCCTTTTCGCATCCGCTCAGACAGTTTTCTGACTCAGACAGATTTTCAAGCGTGGTCGTAAACATTACCTCGTTTTTGCGTTTTTGAACTCTATTCGTTAGTTTTCAGTTGTGTTTCGGAAACTTGAATATAAATCAGATAATTCAATGATCACTTTTTCTTCCTAGGAGTTTTAATTTAATTGCAGTAATAAAAAATCAGTGTAGAAATAGCTGTGATACCCTAAGCTAAAATTCTTTACCAGTACTTTTAAAAAACAGATTGTTGTGTGCGATGAATCATAATGATGGTTCGAAACACATACCCCATTTTACAGGCGCCAACTAGCACAAGCACTCTGAAAATAGCCCAAAAAATTTTGCAATGGTAAAGTATAGGAAGAATTTTTCGGGGTCAAAGGTCGGGGAAAGGTCCATAGAAATGGAGCGTGACTAGTCAGAATAACTTACTCAAAGTTTGGTTTACTTTGGTTCTCTACCGATTCTGTCAATAGAATCAGTGGTGCGTGACTAGTCAGAATAACTTACTCAAAGTTAAATTTACTTTGGTTCTCTAACGATTCTGTCAATAAATCAGTGGAGCGGGACTAGTCAGAATAACTTACTCAAAGTTTGGTTTACTTTGGTTTTCTAACGATTCTGTCAATAGAATCAGTGGTGCGTGACTAGTCAGAATACCTTACTCAAAGTTAAATTTACTTTGGTTCTCTAACAATTCTGTCAATAAAATCAGTGGAGCGTGACTAGTCGAAATAATTATTTTTAACAAATGAATGCTAATCAGCTGTGTTGCAGAATCACAAGTTTTGGATAAATATTAGTGGGAACGTCTTCTCCCGCAACCCAAACAGTTTGATTATGTTGCGGTTTTCACACTTTTCGTCGCTGAGCAAGAGTAAAATAAACATACGCAGATTCACTCATACTAATGCGAAACGTCTGATAACATGCACAAACGATTACTACAACTGACGAGCTCACCCTGTTTGAGAATCCCTACATCAGCTGCGTCTCCCATTGCAATCTTGGATGTCTCGGGATTCAAAATAGAGCCGCATAAGATTCGACGAACTACAACCCAATGCGATAAATTGAGTTCAGTTGAGACAAACTTTTTGAATTCCTTTGTCGGCATCTCAGCAACGTAAAGAGCAGCGAGGGCTTCCTGTTCGACCGAAAGATAGAATAAGAAAAAATATCAGAATGAAAAACGGAATCTGAATATATTCCCAAGATCAAACCAGTCTCGCAGCCACCAGATCATCCTTCTGAGTTATCTTTCATGTTTAATTAACTACTTTGTTTGTTTCAAAGGTCATCATCACCACACAATTTGATAACTTACACAGATTTGGTTTATATTTTACGGTAATATATGAGTATTCACAGTGCCTCATTTAAACGCTATGATATTTTCAGTATTTCCACTAAAGGCTGGTTTGTTTACCAGTATGAACGATTCAGCTTTCTTAACCCAAAGAAACAGTTCTCATGCCCGAGATCATGAAACTCTTGTTAACTAACACAAATCTTACATTAGACTGCGCTGGGCAAATGACGATGTCAAAGAAAATGTTCACAGCACAATTACCATGAAGGCATTTACAAGAGAAGAGTGTAGGTCAGGGTGGTCCAAATTATTTTTGCATTGTTCGCGGGCCACAATAGTGCCAGGAAAGGGTAAACAGTGCAATTCAAAACAAACACTCTTATTGTGCAAACACATGGTATGAGGGTAAAATATGCAAAAACCACCAAAAAAACTTGATAGAACTCGTAAAGGTACATTTAGCGAAAGATTTCCAACTTCTCATAAAACCGAAAAAATGCTTCCGAACATCAATGAGATTTTCGAAGCAAAATCTTAACTTTGAAAAATGCTCATTGCTCACAAGATTCTAAAACAGCCAGAAAGCCGAATACCAATTTATACTGCCAAGCACATCATTCAACTTTGATAGTTGCCTCAGTTAGCCATAACACCAGCCAATTAAGTGACATTAGTTATGTAACAATATGTTAAATGATTTTTTTGATTAATTTTAAAGCGAAACAGCACCAAATGTGATTTTACAGATAATGAAGCTGCGGGCCCGTTTGGACCACCCTGGTAAAAGCAGTTCAAATCAGACCAAGAACCAGTTTCAATGCGAAGTCTGGTGGGTAATAAGTTGTTCAATCCGACCAAATATTTGTTGTGTATTTTAATATTACCCAGTTGAGAAAACATCATTCTGAACTTTGTCTTGGAAATTACCGATCTGGTGCGTGCGAACCTGGTTTGAATTCGGAGCAAATGAGGAAGTAAACTCGAAATCGCAAGTCAAACCATATGATAAATGAGTTTTTCTACTTCCAAGGTACCACGCCCTAAAGCCACGCTTAATTTACGAACCTGAATGGACTGGTGGATAAAAAAGAATACAAAGTTCTTTTCGAAGAGCCGTTGGTTGATTCCAATTGATCTTGGTATTGGGATCATGATATCTTTCAAGTGATCAATGGTGATTCCTTCCGGTAAATCTGATTCGGCGAAAGTAACTTTCTTGTTCCTCATTCCGTCAAACGACATTTTCTTCAACCTGTTGAACACTTCGTAAATAGATACATCTTCTCTTCCACCTGCTCTCATATGCTCTGAATTCATGGTATTCAGCAAGACGAGAAGCAGGATGTCGGTCATTTTCTTGGGATTGAGGTTTCTGTACAGTATCAGCACAGTTACTGTAAGAACGAGAAACATCGGAATAGAGCAAAGAGAAAGTAAGCCGCGTGCTTCTTTTTTGAGACGATTCATGACATATTCGCCATGCTCTCCGCTAAATGCGTAAATGAGCTTTTCCACACTTTCTTCATCGAAACCTGCTAAAGCAATGACTCTCTCAGGGCGAACTTCTCCTTCGAAGAAACGTAAAACGTGTTCACGTGATGAGTAGAGAAGCTTGATGCCGGGTAAAAGCTTTTGAGCGAGGATGAGATTTATAAGAAGCTTGGGATCTGCTTTATCATAGTGATTGGCGTTACCGCGTAATTTGCCAAGATCTTGAGGGGAAGCGCATTGATCAGCTCCATCAATTACGAGAAGAAACTTTTCGGGATGCAATATGATCCATCCAACACCATGATCTCGGACATCTTCATCCAAATCTGTATCTCCAAATAATAATTTCCCGAGACTGACCTCCTTCTTAGATAGAAGATCTCGAAAGTTAATGTGACGAACAATCTCGACTCCTCTAAGCTCTGGTATCTTTTGATCAAGCACATCAACGGAGAAACTTTTAGACATTTCGGTTTTGCCATATCCGGCTCCCCCGACTAGAGCAACTCTCGATTTGCCATCCGAAAAAAAGCTTTCCATGGATATTTCTTTGCCAGGTTGCTTCTGAGTGTGCTGGCTGAAACCAAGCTCTGGCTTATATTCAGCATTCTCGGCAGCGCTTCCATAGAAATCTACATCCACTGTACGAGGCTGAATCTTGATTTTCGGAGTTGTAAGACATCCGATAGTTGAAGCTGGCTGTGCATTTTTCCTCGTTAAATCATTGATTTCTTTCTTGAATATCTGAACCTTTTCTACAACGTAGATGCAAAAAATAGATTTAACGTTCGCCTTATTTTGTATATTGCACACTCATAAAAATGAACACTTATGACACTTTTACTACTGTTGCACTATTTTTCAGATCTACCCCCATTATATTGATCGCTAGATGGAGTAGATGAAAAACAAACATCTTTTGAAATATCGAGAAATATTGCACAAATTTTTTTATTTTTCAACAATATATCTTATGCAATAAAAAATGTTATATTACGTCTGAACATTCATTTACTTTAAACGATAAAGAGTTCACTTCAATTTTTTTCAATATAAAGATATTTGGATTTGAGACTTCTTCCAATGAATAAATTCAAACAGCAATGGATAGAATGTATATCAGTCTCTTATCATTGAAATATGTTATGCTGGTTTGCATCATCCTCATGGCTTTGTAGCTCTGTTCCTGTGTTGTATATCAGTTCTCTCCAACCAGACATTCTCCATTTATACAATGGTATATAGAAAACACCAAGAGTTCAATTGAACCAAATTTTTCCATTACAACTTTAAATTTCTCAAACAACCTGAAACTCAGTCCAGGATTTTGACAGCATTCAACTTTGACCTTCCTCATTTAGGACTTCGAGCAAACCATCAGAAACAAATCACACTGACTGAAGTTAAATTAGATTTTCGCATTTCCCAAAAAGCCGATGGGAATAAAACCATCAAGCAATGTTGAGAATATGCTGATGAACTCAGTTTATCTTTCTGTGGCAATTTGTGTCCTTTGTAAGTTACTGCAAATTCGTGTCCAAGTTTACAACATATATTCGCTTTATTTTATATATTATGTAATTGTACAGCGCATTTGAAGTTGTGTGTGTTCTTTCTTCATTCATATACATTATTCTGTTTGAACGTAGCAATCTCAAATTGTATTTGAGATAATATGGTGCATGTCGATGAACTGTGCGACTTAGGTAAACAAGGTCTTGTGAATATTTTATTGTTTTTTTTTTAATTTAAAGATTCTGACACACATGAGCTGTGAACTGACGTAACGGTAACCTACTACCAACTCTATTGACATGATTATTATCAATTTGGTTTGTGTTTTAGTCAACTTTGGCTTAAAGTCAAGTCATTATAAAACAATTATAAAACATTATAAAACAAATTTCCAAAATTATCTTAGGTGTTTCTCATATCAAGTCGCTTTCAATGACTGATATTGTTTTAATAAACTGACTCGAGTAATAAATAAAAATAGCATATTCTCTTGCCACGAAATACGCGAGTATATTTGTGAGCTTGCGTTATATCGTAGTTCAACTTGTTCATGAACTTAAAAATGATTTGACCTAATCAAACAGCAACCTTTAATATTATCTCGCATTCTTGTGACATATATGAATTCAAAGTCCTTTTTTCCTTTTATTAAAGTTATCGCGTGGAGGCATTCACGGGACGAGTTTTCAAAACTGACCTCTTGCTCGTTTTATAACCTTCCGATGTCGCGAAAGGCTCTATATTATGCAGTTGGATACGAAACTACAAAACTAGGTCAGAGTTGCTTGGCTTTATGGTTACCACGCATCGCCATATTTTATGAGCATTTTTATTTTCTCTGCGTATTAAAATATGTATGTGCTCAAAATATGCGGGATATTTTATTACTTATTCATTCTTAAAACTTTTAAATTCTTAAAAAAAAACTAATGAACTTTGTGAAGACCCCTATTTTAGACAAATTTTTAAACTTGTAACAAATGATTTGCTGCATCAATACTAAATTTTCGAAAATGATATCTTTAAGCAATACAAACATATCAGTCGAAAAAAAATTAACTTTATGTTGACAATGTAACCACAGGTATACTATCGTGTCTCCCTGAAGCTATATGTAAATTTTGAATATTTGATAGTGTCTCCCTAAAGATATATATGTAAATCTTACATTTCGTGTGCAAACCTTTCATGATATGGTTAATTAGCCCTGTTATCATGTCTTCCTAAAGATATTTGTAAATCATATATAGTTGTGTGCGAAGATTTAGTGAAAATAGTTGAGTAGCCCTGTTATAATGTCTCCCTAAAGATATATGTAAATCTTTAATTTTGTGTGCGAACCTTTGGTGAAAATAGTTGAGTTGCCCTGTTATAATGTCTCCCTAAAGATATATGTAAATCTTTAATTTTGTGTGCGAACCATTCGTGGAAATAGTTGAGCAGCCTGTTATCATGACTCCCTAAAGATATACCCTGTCACCCTATTCGCAAGCCTCACAATATTTTTACAAATTATCAATTTAAACATACCATCGTTTTCACCCAAACCTACAGCAGCTTTTATAGCACCCGGTGCATCTTTTCGTTTTTGTTGAGCAGAATCTTGATTAACCACAGGACCATAGTAGTTCGCTGTGAAGAAATTGAAATATTTCATGCATTGTACAACCACGATAAATATAGCACGGTTAACGAGTTCTATGATTCTATATTTTAACCTGGAACCTGCTCTAAAATCTAAATTGGCGATTTTTAGTCGTTTTTTGTTACAGGATAAAACATATTTTCTCAATTATTTCTCTAAAGCTGGACTTGAGTATTGAAATTAAAAACCAGGTCTTTATCCCCGACTATCAACTGATTTAATTAGTGCAAGTTTTCGGAGTCATTGTCTAAACCAGGGGTATGTAACATTTATTAGAAGATTTAAACAAATGAAAAATTTTATTCGCAGACCGCAATCAAAATCGGCACAATTTTCTTTGTGGGTCGCAGGTTTCACCCCCCTGGTCTAAACTCATTAATGCAGTTTTCATACGACTTCGAGTCGATGAAATTTATCCCCAATTGGACCCCATAATCCTCTGAGTCGATGGAATTTCTCACCGATTACACCCTGTGATCTTGCAAAGACTTTTTTTGTCAGAAATCCCCTCAATTCAGTTTTAATAGAAAAAACAAAACACATACTTATATTTTGAGTCGCAATATGTTGATCCCCAAAGTGAGCTCGATCAAACTTCCCTTTCGGAAATGAAACTGAAAGAAACGGTTGTATAAGTATTGAATTATACGGAATAACTGGCAAAATTTCAAGTTTTTACATTGCTTGTGAGCGCATATTTAAACATAACTGTTAGATTAGGTTTTTTGTTTGATGGGAAAATATTTAAGTGTTGACGAGGGCCACTCTAAAATGTTATCGAGCCCCGCTTTTCAATTAACAATGATATCATAAACTTTATTGATTTATTATGCTGTAATAATAGATTTCCAAGTTCCAAACTTCATGACGAAGATCCAAGGCTTCAAGTACGTTGACTAATGGTCACAGGCGTGTCTAACTTTTGTGTTGCCAGAAACTGGTTTCTGAAGATAGTGCCCTTCATACCTTTACCTTTTCATAACTTCAATTTAGTAGATTATACATGACAATAAATAAATTAAAGGTCATGTAAGAGTGAAAAATTTGTATTATTATTATTTAAATCAGGGGTGTGCAACCATTATTACAGGAGGGCCAAATACAAGTAACCAGGTGAATCCATTAGCCAAATCTCTATATAAGATAGCCTTTCTAGTAGATGAATCCACAAAAATTATTTTTTGTTTTTACAGTATTGTTTGAGAGGGAGTGAGAAATTGTGAGTGAAAACAAATAATTTCTTAAGAAAACTACTAGTTGAATATATTAATATGACAGTGACCCTCTAGTACTGTTTTAGGCTTTTCCATGCAAAGGTATTGGAATTACTCGCACATACTAGATTAACTAAACTAAAAACTTGTCTCGCGGGCACACCATTAACAGTTGGCACTTCTCCAAGGGCCGCACAATTATTTCTTAAGGGCCGGAGTCTGCACACCCCTGCTTTGAAAAATAAGTTGCGTCACCTGATACAGGCTTTCCTGCTCCTTGAGATCCAAGTATAGCTGAAACTTCGGAACTGATTTGAACTGTAAAAAAGAAATCAAAGCAGGCGTTGAGGTGGGTCCACTGACACAAGGTAGTTTTAGAAAAGCAAAGCGGTTTGAAAACTTACTGCAACTCATTGTGTGTGCAGTCAACATGTTCAGTAGATGGATGGATTGGGACCATATACCCATCCCTATTCCTAACCTGCTGTCTATATGACAGCCCAATAACCCTGTATGAAGAAGGCCATTCAAATGGTAATTGGGACCATATACTCATCCCTATTCCTAACCTGCCGTCTATATGGCAGCCAAATAACCCTCCTATGGAGTAAACCAGGTTTCTAGGATTCTGTTTCCAGGAAGATGAAGCCATAAATTGATTATTCCGACTTCGAATAAAAAATCTCTGATAATTTTAGCATTTGCAAGCTTTTTTTGCGTTTGTTCCAAGTCCATGCATTCAAAACATAATTGGCTAACTAATCTCATACCCGACATGAACTGGTAGGTGGGCTGTGGTTTGTCATATGATTAAGCCGTCGCACATACTTTTCTATCCTTGGATAAATATGTCAATCCTATCCCTATTTACAAAAATACTTGCAGAAATGTTACTCACTAGCTCCACCTGCTGCCAATGCTCCTTCAGACTCATCAGGATGGAACGGTTGAGCCTTAGATGACGCTTCCCCTTCTTCTGCGAATCTTTCAGCTAAAGAATAAAATCAAAGAAGAAATTAGAATACTTCGCAGAAGCCTGCTGACTTCCCTCTTCTCAGGGTAATCTACCACCATGTTACAATTCAACCCACAGAGTACGAGACATGGAAATCTTGTACTTATTCTTATACATATATCACAAGCGTCAGAGGGCGCTAGAGTTGCACAAAATTCGGTATGAGTTCCAGGGTAAGGATATGACATAAGTTTATTCAGATTTTCCTTATTCTTAGTTCTATTATGAGTTCGTGGACTGTCTTTGTTGACCAAGTAAATACCCCACTGCCCATAGGTTTCAGTAGCTTTATGTAAAATAGGCGGCAACTTGATGTAAAATAGGCGGACAAAATTAGTTACCTCCATATTGGTACACATACTTCTGGAGAGCCTACAATTCCACCCACAGAGTCAGAGTACGAGACTTATCTATGTTCCCTAGTTCTAGTCCCTGATCCATTGAGCCTTCAGCCAATCCATGGGATTCTTATACTTGGTGAGCGTTAATCGTATTTACTAACTTCCAATTCACGATTCTAATTATTTACATTTTTAGTAGCTTTTGTCACCTTAGTGGCTGCCCATAACAAACAATTTTTTTACGAGAGAGACTAATTAGGTGGCGATGTGGATCATATTGCAAATTTTACACCTGTCTTGAAGTGTCTTGTACGGAAATTTAAAGTATAGTGTCGAACAGTGCCAGTAGCTCTTGGCCCTCAGTAGCCGCCCATAACTTCGTTAGGGCAGAATATCTTTTGCTTCAGAGTGAGGCTAGAACGGCATGACCTTGTTTTGAGCAAATTTTCTTACAATTGAAACAAAGTTGAGCAGAAATCTTTTCCAACACTCACCAGGTTCCTGATTTACTCGTCTTGGATCAGCCTGAGATGGTTCAAAGTCAGGTCTGAGTGGCTCAGCATCAGGTCTGAGTGGTTCAGCACCAGGTCTGAGTGGTTCAACATCAGGTCTGAGTGGTTCAGCGTCACCCGCTCTCTCCTCATCTACAGGAGGTTCCATTGGACGAGGATGCAGAGGAGACTGATCTGTATGGAAAGTGTAAATCAGGATGAGATTTTATTCATATCTTGCAGAGACTCTGTAGCGAGGGCAAAGGCTCTGTGGTAAGATGAGTTTATTCTAGAGACGAAGCAACAGTATCTAGAGACATTTTGGGTCTTTTTAAAGAAGTTTTGATCAAATTGTGTTTTTTCTAGCAGTATTGAGGGGAACTTATAAGCGAAAATCAAATTTCATTTCAGGGCAAAGTGCCCGCCTTAATCCTTTGGTTGTTAAAATCACTCGGTTGCTAAACTGCTGTATTGATTCTTTACCAGTGTTCGCTATTTTCGCATTTTTTTGTGAAAACAGTGGAAAAGCTATTGTTATCTTATGGCGTTGTTAGGGGTTCTTGCAGAAATTTCTACATTAAACTGTTATTTCAATTTATTGCCAATATAACAGTCGCCTTTAGGTACTGTTATAGGCTTTGTGATGCAAAGGTATTGGAAGTGCTCGCACATACAAGATTAACTAAACTAAAAACTTGTTTCGCAGCCACCCCATAAACAATTGGCACTTCTCCGAGGGCCACACAATTTTTTCTTGTGGGCCGCAATTGGCCCATGGGCCACAGTTTGCAAACCCATACTTTAAATAATTAGTCACGTCACCTGGTACAGTCTTCCCTGCTCCTTGAGATCCAAGTACATTGAAAGGAGCTTGAACTTCAGAACTGCTTTGAACTGTAAGATAGAAATAAAAGTAGGCGTTGAGGTGGATCGACTGACACAAGGTAATTATAAAATAGTAAAGCAGATTTATACTGTCCATATTGCGGCCCAATAACCAAGTCCCCCCTTTTTTGATTTGCAAGTCTAGCCCCAGCTTTCCAAATTATACAATTCCGACTATAAAACTCCTTGTTTCATATTTTTGCTCAAGAAAATAAATTTGTGTCTGATTCAAGTCCATGCATCCGAAACATAATTGGCTAAATAATCCCACACCCGACATGAACTGGTCAGTGGCCTGTGGTTTGCCATATAATTAAGCCGTCGCACATACTTTTCCATCCTTGGATAAATATGTAAATCCTATCCTTATTTACAAAAATACTAGCAGAAATGTTACTCACTAGCTCCACCTAGTGCCGATGCTCCTTCAAACTCATCAGAGTGGAACGGTTGAGCCTTAGATGACGCTTCCCCTTCTTCTATGAATCGTTCAGCTGAAGAAAGAAATCACAAAAGATCTTCAAATACTTCATAAGACACCAAGTTACAATTCCAACCACAGAGTGCGAAACTTATCTATGTTCCCTAGTTCTTATTGTATTGGCTCTTCAGAAGAGCGCTTTTAGCTTAGTCAGTACCCAGAAAGTAGCCCGCTGCTTTATAAAGGTTGGTGGCCCCTGTTCTAGAGGCAAAGCAAGAGTATCTAGACACATTTTAAGCCTTTTCAAAGGAGTTTTGACCAACTGCATTAAGCAGCATTATGGGGCACTTTTAAGCGAAAATCAAATTTTACTTCAGAACGAAGGGCCCGCCTGAAACCTTTGGTTGTTAAAATCACTCATTAACGAGGATTGATATATTTCTGTATTGACTGTCTAGCAGTGTTCACTATTAGAGCACTTTTTCACGAAAACAGTTGAAACCATTTTTAATGAGTACAATCCTTCGAATATTTAAAATTAATTCATCAAAAACTATGGCACCTAACTTTCGCACTCTTTGTTTCAATTGCGAAACAACTTCGCACTCATATTTTCATTAGAGTGAACACTGCAGGTATTTCTGATATTAGGAGTTTTGTCTAAATCAGTAATTTAATGTCTGGTGTTAAAATCTGTCTGTCAGATTTAATAAAAATGCCATGAAATTGGAACAATTATCTGGTCAGCTATGTTAATACTCAATCTGGGCTGTAACTGGACAAGTGAGAGCAGTGAGGTTTACTACTGCATTGATTATAAGTTTCTACCTTGCTAGAATGAAGTTTCTTCCACAAGTGCGACTTGAGCTGAGCCATCAACCTCAGATAACTTGTAAATCTGGCATCCACAATCAGGTTGCCATAACAACAGATGTCAGTGGAACTCTATTTGAGTAACAATTTACCTGGGTGGGATTCTCCTCTTTCATCCATGAAGGCTTTTACCAGTTGCCATATTTTTTCAGTTGTTGCTGAATCTCCTGTGTTATTAAAATAGAAAATGATGAATCTGCTATTATGAATGAATCTGCTATTAAACTTTTGGCGCTCCAGAAGTGTGTGTACCAATATAGGGACAATAGGGACTGAAACCTATAGCCAGACAATTATTTGAACAAGAATGCATGGGCGTGTCAAACTTTTCTGCTGCCCAGGACGAGTAATTCTGCTGGTCAATAACGAATAATTCACTATTTCGAATACATTCAAAATTAATATTTTCAAATATGAAATTTCGAATACTTTGAAAATAAATTCAAGTAAAATAAGCTTATCTTGGTGTATGTCGGGATTTGCATACAATAAACAATGGAATAACCGTTACCTACAAGCTGGCAACAAGAAAATTTATACTTTTAAATGTAATTGATATTTTAATATCAATATTGGATTTTAATATCAATATTGGATTTTAAGTGATATTTTAAGTTGTATGCCTTTTTTTAAGTACGAGAGTGCGAATCAAAATTAATTATAAAATGACAGTTAACCATACATTTTATGTCCACAGATTGCCGCCGTATCTTAGAGTAGTTATGCATCAATTTATTAATAAGGTTGACGTAACTATGAGTTACGTTAAACACAGTTAAATTAATACAAAAAGTCATTTTAAATGCTCTTATTGTTTACGAATTAATTTTCCTTGAGGGCCGCATTTGGCCCCCGAACAACAGGTTAGACACCCCTGATTTAAATTATCAAACTAAGCAACAAACTAATCTCTATGAAAAGCGATTATTACACCACCATGAAATTTCTATGTCAGTTTTCTTAAGTCGAACAATAAGACACAACAAATATCAAAGCTTTACCGTTTTTCAATTTCCACAAAACGAGCAAATCCAGATTCCTCTCTTCCACATTTTTTGCATTTTCTTTTATGTTTCCAACCTCGTGCATACTGAGCGATAAACCTTTCCCAGATAATGCGAATCTTTGAAACAGTGCAGCGTTGTCGAAGACTTTAGGAACTGCTAGGAAAGCATCCTCGATTCTTGAACCTGATAAAGAAACGGATCAATTACATTTCCATATGAAGCTAATTATTTGAGTGACACAGTGGCGAAATGCTATAAGTCAATGTCTTATAGAGTGTTGTTGGAAAAACCCAGCATTTTGAAATTGAAACAAAAAAAAATAACCTTAGTTTTTATATTTCCTGAAGAGGAAAACCAATAAAATAATTTATATATAGCATATATACAGTATAAACAGGGATTTTGAGGAAAGCAATACCAGAGCAGACATGGAGACACAATGGTAAAATCAAATAGCACATACGATATGAGTAGGGTGACCATATTTTTGTGACTTCAAAGCGGGACGCCTCCAAAGACAACGACCCCTTTACTGTGATTTTGTAACTTCACATTTTCCGATTTTACTACATAGGGTTACTTTTTAAATCATCCCGGCTGTCCTCATATTGTCATCGAGAGTTCATTCGCAAATTCTCTGTCCAAATATCAGCCGCCGGGTTCAGTTCGAAAAATAGAAAGGTATTGACGCTAACAATACAAATAATTCGAATTTCAATTTTTTATGTACAGCAAAAGAAAGAAAGAATTGTAAAATAGCCTGGCGTTTTCAAGCATTGAGAATTTACTTCGCCAATCATGCTTTTCTGTAGATAACACCTTCCTCAAAAAGACGTTGTTCAATGTTACATGTGTTGCGTTCGCTAAAAATGTTAGCGGAAACACAACGAAACAAACAAAATAACGCCTTCACTTTCAGCAAGTAGCCTAGCACTGCGCTACATAGCAACAACAATAACGAGAACATGTTAATTGGTAATGTTCGTGTATTATGCTGGGTGGCTGAACGCCAAAGCGGGACTTTTGGCTGACTGGTCGGGACGGCTGGACAACACGCTAAAAAGCGGAACTGGACAAGTCGCTAAAAAGCGGGACTGTCCCGCCTAAAGCGGGACGTATGGTAAGCCTAGATATGAGCATACATGAAATATAATGTCAATCTAAAAAAGAGGGCGATGCCCAAATATGCGGACATAAAGGCCGAAACATAGTAGTATGGGTATGAGGTGTGCGATGACCACTTCGCACACAGAAAAAAACAATCCCTTCAGCTCCAATAACTTATTTCAAATAAATCCAAGTTATGGCAATACTCCAATCGCAAAAAATAATATCTTTAACCGCTGAAAATTTCAAACAATTGGACAGTCGTTATTAGTTTTTTTTTGTAGAGAAAGAAGAAGAATGAGAAAAAGTGCCGCTTGCACATTTTTTATACGATGATACCAAGTAATGGAAAACCTCCCATAACTTACCAGTGACACCACCTCTCTCTTGCCTGAAATATTGCTTGATAATCTCTGCTATATGAGTGGGTGATGCCCTCGATCCTGTAACACAAAGAAGTTGGAAGTTTTAAAAGGTGCTTAGTCTCTAGTTATAGTTATAGCCTCTATAAAAAGGAAAGATATATTGTGATTAAAAAAGCTATTTTTAAAAGGGACAACTTCCTTGGTGTTTAAAAACAATTTTGTTGAATGAGAACCTACCATGTTTTTCTTTCCAAAGATCAAGCATTCCAAACTTTTTATCTTCAACATAATCAGGATTGTCTGCAATGATTGTTGAAACTTCTCCAGCAGTGAGCCTGAGACCATTTCCAGATAAAGCAAACATTTTGAAATGAATGAACGACGTGAATTTTCTTGCAATGTCAGCGAAAACATCTTCAATTCTGATGTTGCCTAGAACAACGAATTTGAGTTGAAAATGGGGAGAATGATATCCAAGTATCAATATTTATATTTAGTTTTATTTTTTACGCAAACTAGACCATCACTCAGTGGGGTGGTGGCTCATGCTTTATGCTTGCCACTGTACCCTATGTAGGTTCCCTGGTTGGAATCCTGTGGGGAATAATTATGTGCGAGAGAATTGCTGGATTCTTCCCTACCGCAAGGTGGTTCACGTACCACCGGTAGGTTACGTCTTCCTTCCACCTACAAGTCCATGCATTCGAAAACAAAGTAACTTTAAGACGCATGGACTTGATGGCGGAGGGAACCCACCCTACAACGGTGAGGGATCCAGCAATCCTCTCGTACATGATTATCCTCCACAAGATTTGACTTGTAAACCCACACAGGGTAATCAGAGGTGCGGTGGCGAGCGTATCGTGCGCCTCAACGCCATGAATCTTATTTAGACAAAAACATGTCATGACATTTTAGACATAATCTTACTGGTGGTTGTATGTATGTTGGTGCTAAAGAGATGTCTGCACCCCAAATTACTGATTTAATTTCTGGTTTGGTTCTTCCATGTTTAACAATTTGATGATTTACTATTAGATTGCTCAGAAATTAATTCTTGAAAAGTTTGAGCCACACGGGTCTAGTAAATGACATTTTATTGGAAAAGTTGGCTAATTCAGAGAGAGGATTTATCGACTTGGCTCAGAGGTTGGCAAATTGTGTTGAGAATACGCTTTCCACCTCACTTCTAATCACCTCGCAAAGGTTTGCAAATTCGAATCCCGGGAAAATTATGTGCGAGTGTAGTACTGGGTTTTGTGCCTTTGTAGGATGGTTCACGTAAGCGGTCGGTTACTCTTCCCATACCTGAGATGAACTGGTAACCGAATAAGAGGCCATGGCTGCCATATGCTGAAGTTATATAACGACAGACATATAACTCATCTAGTCAGAATGAAATGGCTCAGATTTCTCGGGCCAGAATTGTTTTGTTAGGAGCCACACTTGAATATATATTAGAGTAGAATAGCCCTGATCCTTGATTGGGTAAGAGAGCATTAAAAATTATTTGGAAAATTATATTTATAACATTGTTTTTTTTTTAATTTATTTGCAGAAATTCATTCACTGAAAAATGTTACTCACTAGCTCCACCTGGGGTTGATGCTTTTTTAGACTCTTCAGAGTGGAACGGCTGAGCCTTAGATGACGCTTCTCTTTCTTCTACGAATCGTTCAGCTAGAGAAAGAAATTAAAGTTGATATTATTATTGGCTTTCCTCTCCCTGGGATAAATATGAAAATCTAATGATATGATTGATCCTATACCCTACACCAGTGTTGTCCAACCCTTATAATCGAAGGGCCACATGTAGTTCACGAATTTTTACGCGGGCTACTTGACATGGTAGATATGTTTTTGTTTTTACTACACCGACTACAGGTTGATGAAAAAAACGAACAAAACCATCGCACCGAAATTACAACAATAATGAAAATACAAAAATACAGTAAAGTCCACATTTTGACCACACACAAATATTTCAATGTGAAGTATGGTATGGCACTGCTTTTACTCAGCAAGTTTGTTAATATTCGATGCGATGGACGATGTAGCAATGCAAAGCGAATTTTTTATATGACTGTCAGAAATTAGTGATCTCATGAGGGAATTGACATGGTTCATCCGTGAAACAGCTTACTCGTACAAGTAAGTGTTGTTAAATATTGAGGTAATGAAATTGTCTCTTCTAGATTCACAGAAGAAGGACAGGAAAACAGATTGAAATACATGACAGACAATAAAAATATATTCAAAATTTATAGGTTTTCTGCTCTCACAGGGATAAATATCTAAATCTTATCCATATTTAAAAAATTCTGGTAGAAATGTTACTCACTTGCTCCATCTGGTGCCGATGCTCCTTCAGACTCATCAAAGTAGAACGGTTGAGCCTTAGATAACGCCTCCCCTTCTTCTATGAATCGTTCAGCTAAAGAAAGAAGTCAAACAAAAAATTAAAGCCTGAACTACACAGCTATGTCTTGATCGCAAAACACCCCACACCAAAAATTGATATGGGTATATATATAAATATTGAGAAAATGAAATGAGAAGTGGTCACTTTTAACATTTTCCACGTTGTACATTTTTAACGCAATTCCGAATTTTCGATTTCATATATTTAATGGGTTGGCCAGAGTCCAAGTTTGGCATTTTTGTGATATTTGCTTTGGTGCTGCAGTTGTATATTTAAACTGGATTCATCTCAGAGATTGAGTTGGTGTATTTTTTGGAAGACGCAGTAATATGTAAATGTTTCCAGCCCTACTCTGGAATATTATAAACCAGCGCTTAATGAACCACAACACATATTTCTATGACAACAATGATGTCATAGTACCGTAATATTCTAGATGACTGTTGAGAGAGAAAATAGATAGCGCTAAAGAGGAGATCCAACATAACAATTGCAAAAGTTGTAAATTAGTTGGAAAGCGAGCATAAGAAATTTAAGGAACATTCAAATGCATCTGCAGAATGGTATTTACTTGGCAATAATATAAGGATATCAAGCATCGCTATATTTTTAAAATTCTATTCAGTGATATGATTTTTCCACCAATGAGTTATTGCTTGTGCACCCAGTAAATCATCTTGTATTACCTTGAGAGAATCCAGATTGTTCGTTGTTTGTTCCAGGCTCAACGGACGATGACGCTATATTTTGATTTCCCTGCGATGAAACGATCGTTTCGGCATCAGTTTGAGATGAATCTGACAAAGAAAGGATTATTCATAAGGATTGTGAATGCATGAAATTCCAGAATCATTCAGCAAATATCAGTCAGAATAAGATTCGGCATTTTCAACAAGTGGGCAATGGCCGACTCCTGGGCCACAGAACAATTTCAAGTGGGCCACAGACCCATTTAAGCTAGAGCACGAATGGGCAAGGTTTTTAGACCAGGGCCCACCAATTTTGTCCACCTCCACTGACGGGCCATGTAAGTGCGACTTAAAACAAAAATTTTATTACCAAAATTTGCAGTGTTACAAAAGCAAAAGTGGAAATCAATAAACCTCGTGCCAAAACAAATTTAATCGCAATATCAACAAACTTTTTGAGATATTTTTTAGCTAAAACACCAAGATTTGGTTTTAGTTTGGTTGTGGCAGCATCAAGCGAGCCAGTTATTGAATTACCCGTAGTTTGTCCATGTCAGACTTGAATGACGATGGTATTTATGCTACTGAGTGGTAATTCTCATTTCAGTTATGAAAGTGGAAATGTCTATCATTTCGAGAAGCATTTATTTGTTCTCCTGTAGTTTTTCAACTGCAAGGTAATCAACCACTTCTGTGCGGCTTGCAAGAAAAAAGGTTGACTGTTCTTAGTTTAACAATAGTGTCAAAATTTTATGTATTTGATTATAATGAAACATAATCTTTATACAGATTCGTATTCGAATCTAAACTTGCGGAATCCCTAGAATGTCAGGTTGAAATAACGCATCCCGTTTGAAAATCATTTATCTGGGTGTTTCAATAACTCTTTTTGCTTGTTATTTGAGTGAGCCAACTGCCGCGGGGCAGATATCACCCATCTGGAGTTGCCCAATTTCAAAGCCTATAGAGCAGTGGTTCTCAAACTTTTTAACCCCCCCCCCCCCCTCTTTTTAGAATTGGTAAAGAGTCCCGCAACACTTGAAAAATAACTTGCTAAAAAAAGCTACAAAAACATATAGTAAGGTGAAAGTATGTAAATATCCAGAATAAGGCGAACAAGATCAAATTTACCAAATATTTCACCGCCCCCAACAATTGTCTACGTCCCACCGTTTGAGATTCCCTGCCATAGAGGGCCATAACACAAATCTCTGTGCAAGCAACTTTCGTGTTAGCAAATTTATACTTCAGTATATAGCCAATGAATTTCACCCATGCCACGACTTTTGTATTTTAATACAGTAATATGATGTCATTTGCCTGTTTATGATGTCATATATATATATATATATGCCCCCTATGCCATTGTCATGGCCACATTTTGATACGTTTGAACTTTACTTTGTAACTTTGTATTTATGTGTTCACCTTTCTAAATTATGACGAAACTTATAACCCCCCAACGCATTGAATCCCACTGAGACAGTTTCTCAATACTTACCCATAATGAAGGATGATTCTCATTTCTCGAAGTCGCTAAATCTTTGTAGAATAATAAAATATAGGAAACTGAAAAAAAATATCTAATTAGAAATTGAGCATGACACGCAAATAAATGAATTCAACATTCAATACATGCTCAGGCATTTGCGCGGAGAACGCGCCGAACACAGAACTTCACCTTCGCAAGAGAAGGGAAAGAAGCTATCGCTTAGCTTTGCAGTGAAACTTCAACGCAGCGACAAAAGCAAAAACATTACTTATTTTTACACGTGTTAGCGTCTTTTTGAGCACAAACCGTCGGATTTAATTCTTGATGGTGAAAAATTTGAGTGTTGACAAGGGCCACACTGAATGGCTTGCGGGCAGGGTTGTGGCCCGTGGGCTTTTGGTATAAATAATGCAAAAAAATTACTTTCACTACACTATGATGGAATTTAACTTTTGCTTGGAATGGTCCAAATAAGCCTGATCTAATCTTCCACTGCAATTCCAACATTGACTCATATAAATTGACTAAAGCTAAAACAAACAAAAGAGAGAAGAGAGACAAATAATCAGCATAACAAAAAATGATTGATGAAAACAAAGGCGCTCCTGTAGTATTTTAACCAAGATGACGCACAACCTGAACATAGTATTGTACCAGGTTAGGGTTGGCAGGTTGTGCGCCATCTTGGTACGAATACGAATCCTTTGTTTTTATCAATCATTTTATTGTTATGCTGATTATTTGTCTTTCCGATTATGGAGTCGAAATAAACTTATACCTTTACAAAAGAGATTTAAAATAATATGACTGATCGTATTGACTGTTTCTAGCAAGTTATGTCATCTGGACAATTCTAACTAAGGCACATTTCCATACTATATTATTTATCTACGTTTTATTGATATTGGGTTAATGGTATATTTATTGAAATCCTAAAAGGTTGTTTATCTGTTATATTAAATTAACACCTATTCCCTATATCGCTTTATACCGAAGTCCATATCTCAAAAGTCCAATATACAACTACTCAGTAAGCCAGCCAGCTGCAACTAACGAATCACGCCGCAACAAGGAAGTCGTTGAAACCAAGGTATATATGGGCTTTGGTTGAAACTAGCAATATCACGTGACGGCCGCGATCAATTTAGACTATTATTGAGACAAGCATAGCGGGATATGACGCACCTGACGTCAGACGCAACCGATTATTACATTGTGCCTCATATTACTATATGAACGTTAGCTTGGCTGTTGTAAATAAACTTTGAGTTTTGAGTCTCCAGCCCAGTAACCAAGTCTATTATCTGTAACTGTCAGAAAAATAATTCCCTTGGTCTAGCGCGGTGGTTATCAATCACTGATTCTGTGGCTCACTAACATTTTCATGTTGGGGAAAAACTTCGAGGAAAACATAGAATTCTTTCTCCAAAATAGACACTTTCAGTTTTATAATAATTAGGTGAAACTTACCTCCCTGTAGCAAAAAACAGCATATTCAAACTACCATCAAATTTAACTAACATTATCAACAACTCTAGCAATTTTGAATAGGTCTGTGGCCAACCTAAAAATGTTTTTGTGGCCTAGCAGTGGGCCATATGTGATTTAGAATTTATAATCATCACATACAGCCGCGCCCCCTCCTCAACTTGTGCATTCCAGTTATATAACCAGCAAATTTCCTACGGGGCTCACAAACCAAATTTATATATTTATACGCCCAAGAAACAAAAAAAGTATCTGGATTGAATAAAATATTGAAATACACTTTGTGAGACCAAAAATTATATTTTCGATTTTAGAAAACTAATTTCCCACCGTTGGTCTAGCCATATGTAATCTATAATCATCCCAACTTGTGCATACCAGTTATAACCGGCATATTTACTAAGTGGGCTTACACTTCAGGCAAAACATTTATTTTATACGCTCTGAGACCCAGGAAACACAGAGATATTTAAATCATGGAATACACTTCGTTATTTGAAATTATATTTTCGATTTTAGAAATAATTAAAAAATTGTGTGAAGAAGGTTCATAGAATATGTCACGACTTATAAATTGAAGGCGGTGTCTCTGCAATGCAAGATCTATGCCATGTGGATACACTCTGTTGTTGTTGGTTGAACATGGAGAAATTTAGAAAACAAGTAAAACAGCAGATTATTCCAAAATCACTAAACAACAATAATTATTTAAATGTTATTATTTAAATGTGCACACAATAAAGATTAAACGTAATAAAGATAAATATAAAATTGGTACTCCCGAAGTATGTGAACCGTAATGGCGGACACCGGAACGTGGTATGTGTACCAGGTTAGGATTAAGCCATGATATTATCCCAATTTTACCTATTTTAATTATATTATGAGTTCGGGGACTAGCCAAGTGACTCTCGTAGTATTTATACCTGAAATTACTACGTCCCGATGTCCACCATCTTGGTTTACATAGTTTGGGAGTACCCAAAATTTTATATCAGATACTGTACTTTTGAGCAAATTATGTGGGATTCGTATCTGTGAGCGATTATGTCACCAAAAATTGTGCAACTTGTGGCGGTTCCGCTATCGCGATAGTCGTGAACATTGTGTACCGATAGTCTACTGTGACAGATTGCATACACGTACTACTTTGATTTGGCCTTTGTGTCCGTATTTGAGCATCACTCATTTGAATGGTCAAAAGGCTGCTAAGATGAGCGGTTTCGGTGACGTCATCTCACTCAATGGCACACTCAGGTGTTCGAGCATCAGATTTCAGTTCGAGTACCGCAGCATTTTCAACTAGAATTTTTGGTCAACTATCGAATTGTTATTTTCCCAATAATAGATGTTAATTTTGACATCTATGTGTTTTCTGTTAAATATGAATTCAGAAAGTTCGATATTATTTTTCCGAACTTGTTCAAGATCAAATTAATCCTGTTCTCAGAATTTAATCGCAGTCCATATTCTTAGGTGCCGAATATTTTGAAGTCTTATGGTCGTTCAAATCATAACTGTCATGTCCTTCTTTGAAACACCGGAGGCAGTAAAGATCTCCTTCGCAGCCGTGACATCTCAGTGATGCGTCCTCGTTACAAATAATACACCACGGCAAATCACTGGATTCCTTCTCAGAACGTTTGTAACCTGTTTCAAAAGAGAAATGTTGGAAAAGTGGAAATTTGACAAATGTTAAGTTTACAGAATTGGTTTTCAGGTTAACATGGCATTCAAATCCTGTAGTCCATATTAATATATCTATAATGTTGATTTTATTCAAACATCTATTACGTCTGCCACTATTATTAAGCTTGCTAATAAGCATTTTGTTTTTCTAGTTTTAAGTTTTTGCTTATATATATAACAATGGCATGACGTTGTGGCTCATCGTTCTAAGCGTTAGGAATTCGCTCGTCACCGCATCTCTGATTACTCTGCGTGGGTTCACAGGTTCGAATCCCATGCGGGGTAGTTATGTGCGAGAGGATTGCTGGACTCCTCGCCGCCGTAGGGTGTTACCACGTAACCGCTGGTCGGTTACGGCTTCCTCCACCATCAAGTCCATGCATCTGAAAACAAATAACTAACTAATCCCATACCCGACATGAACTGGTAACTGGATGACGTGGTTCTCCATGTGATTACGTCGTCTTATCGGCTTTCCTCAACCCCTGGACAAATACGTAAATCCTATCCTATCACATATGTCTACTATCATAACTCACCTTTACCCGCGGCATTCTTATCATACAGCTCTGTGCTGCCACCTAGTCTATTAGCAAGCGAAACTTCTAATCCCGCTTCCGCCGTCAGTCGCTTAATTATTTCCAATTCCTCTTCGTCCGAAAGGTCATTAAAGTTCTCTCGCGGTTTCGATATCGGCGCACATGAATCTGGAAGATTTACAAAGATAGTAAGCAAACACAAACAGAGAAATCCCCCTTCCAGAATCATTTTTATGCTTTGGTTCACTCACCAATCTGAGGTGACATTCCTTGCAATGTTTTCAATCTTCTTTCCAAATTTTCATTGATTTCCTCCATTTTTTTCTGTCTTTCCAGTTCTTCTTACGCGAGGATAATCATTGAATCAGCAGTCACAGCCGAAAATAAGTGAAACCTTTGTGAAGGAATTTCTTCATGGAGAGGAAGAGTGATATGATGGCTCGAGCCAATCAGTGTTGATTAAAAGTGAACCCAGAATCGGGGGTCAAGTCAACCACTGAGTCGTGGTATGACGGCCTGGCGAAGGGCTAACTTTTTAGATGTACAAATTTTCTGCGGAACACCAAATAATCCTAATAACTAATTATCTTCATCAGTTTTAGCGTAGGAATGAAATTACAACAAGACCAATTTATGGCTTTTGACTTGAGCTGTATAAACCGTAACAAAAAATTCTAATTTATTACTAGGGAGAACAAAAGTAAGCTGGAATACCAATGAGAAATATTTAAAACTGACTGTTCGTAGCCGTTTATAGCAATGCAATATTAATATGTTATATGAGCTTGTTTAGATGAGCACAAATCCTTGGAAAACGAGACAAGTGTGCAAAATACATGACGAGAGCGAAACAAATGTGAAACAAGCTTAACAAGTCTTGGACATCCAGGACAAATGTGAGACATTCAAAAAAGGATGAGACAAACAGGACAAGTTTCGTATAGATGAGTTTCTCTGCAGAGCAGGGTAGAGTCTCCAATCGAGAGAAGCAAGATATCAAAGACTCTAGTCGATCACTGAGCCAAATCTCGCTTGGTTGGTTGAGTCCGAGTTATTTCATTTAGATCAGGGGTGTCAAACATGCGCCAGAGAACTTCCAATGCGGCCCTCGTACGCTTAACAATAATTGTAATATTTTGTAAGTTTTTTTTTCATCTAATTGATTATTCACACAAATAAAGAAATAAAAATAATAATTTACAGAAAGTAGTTTTGAAAAATTAATTTTTTTGTTTGTTTTCAATTTGACCCAATTATGGATACACTTCAAGCTAGCAAAAAAATATTTGAAAAAAAATACCTTCAGGAACGAAATGAAACGCAAAGTACTCGAAGAAAGTGGCATTTTCGGAAAAAGGGGGTTGCAATATTTCTGTATTTCTTAAAATTCTAAAGCACATTGTTCAATTTGGCACATTTCTATCAGCACAATGAAAGAATACAATATAAGTAGAAAATATCAGAATAAGCTCAGCAGTCAATATGACAAATTTGAAGATCACCTTTAAATAGAATATTTTTATGTTTTTGTATATTATTATAATTAAACAACTACCTAGTTACTAAAAGTCAATATATATAAATCATAACCCAATCGGTCATATGCCACGTGGTGTCAATGGCAATGTGGCGGGAAATGTATGGTCCGAAAAGTCAATCATTACTTTTGTTAACTGATCTATACATGATATGATGAATGTGATATTTTTGCATTACTGAAATTAATCTCAAACATTCTCAACGATCCAGTATAACCGATAATCATGTGACCTCGTTAATTAGAGTTGGTACTGTAAAATCATTTCAGCCCGATATTAGTAAGCTGGTGGCACAAAAGAGATGCCAAACGTCAGGACATATGTAATAAAAAAACATTGAGTTTATTCGTCATTTTTGGAGCATATATTTAGATTAGGTCATTTTTATTATGTATTATTTTTTTAACAAATCTTTGTTCAAAAATGTTTTGGGTAGTTGTAAAAAAAACTTGGATTTTTATAATAAATAAATTTGCAATAATAGTAAAATACCAAAAAATAAATATGTAAATGCCATTTGAAATTTCAGAAAGTACCAAAACTTTATTCGGTTATTTGATTGCGTCACAATATATGTCACAAACTACATATATCTAAAAATATGCTATTAAGTTAAGTATACATTATCAAAATATATCAAAAGCTGTTTGCGGCCCTTTGCACAATTCCCAAAATGCAATGCGGCCCTTGAAACCCTCGAGTTTTGACACCCCTGATTTCGATGACTTTGATATATCAACATACCTCCTCTCTAAAACTCTTCGTATAAATGTGCTGTGCTTTCTATGTTGTCGGGATTTAGTCATTCATATGCAATGACCACAACTATGGTGTCCCACTACTTGACTGGTTTGAGGGACTTCTGCCAATTCATAAATAATTCCAGGAATGTCAATCAATAATCGGTAGTTTATTTTTTCACGTTACATGAAATACACTAAATGAATACAGAAAGTAAAGAAAAGCAACAATGCGATGGCTTAATAAATCAATAATCAATACGTTGGCTTAGTCATATGGCGTACCACGGCTCTCGTCAGGTTAGCAGTTCATGTCGGGTATGGGATTAATTAGTTATTTGTTTTCGGAAGCATTCACTTGATGGTGAAGGAAGCCGTAACAGATGAGCGGTTATGTGAACCACCCTATGACGGAGAGAGGTCCAGCAAAACTCTAGCGCATAACGCAAACCCACGCAGGATATTTCTAATTGCCAAGTTAGATAAAAAGGGCTAGCTGTTTTGCGGCATTTTCTGATGGTCACAAACTCGTATATCTTTTACGGCAGTATTTTACTGAGAACTATACGCTCATTGATTGCTTACTATCAATCAATTCTTTCTCCAAACCAAAATAACTCTGTGGACAGCTTTCTATGATATCGTTAGATATCCTTGGATGCTTGTACCATGCGTTGGCCAAATCGAAAGGCGCAAGTGAGCGTCATATTACCGTATTTGCAGAATAAGGGGTGCGTATTATACATTGACATAGAAAATATCGAAAAAATATTAATCTTCATTTTATGCTCAGTTGGTTGATAATCTCACAAATATTAATCTTAAGTGTTTTAATTTCACTCAGCAAAGTCTGTTAGGATCGAATCATGCTTGTTTCAGTAGAACCATGACCTATCCAATGCAATTTAACGTTAGTAAGAGTAGCAATAATCTTAAACAAAGGTGAAATAAAAGAACAGCTGTACATAGTTAGTCTCATTCAGATGAGGCAATAACCTATTATTACTAGATCATGCATTCGGATGGCGTAAAGTAAGCATTACCAATGAGTTACGATCAGGAATGCCCAACCAAAACAATTATTGTCATTTTTGGCGATGACGCGTCAAGCTTCGAGACAGATCATTTTGGCTTGTATTGGGGACTTTAGGAAGGGGCCTAGGGGCATGTAATTAATAAACTAGAGTCAAGTCATGACCCTTGTGACACATTCATGGCTAGGACGCTCCAATTTTGATTTTAAAAGAACAGCTGTACATAGTTAGCTACTGTCAATGTCTTGCCGTTTCTCTAATCAAATCGGCAAAACTTTAGGGTCATAAATCATTATACCTATGTCACTCAAATTAGTTACCGGCCGACGACCTATCTTTGAAGTGCGGTGTGTAAAAACACGCTTTGTCTTCGGGACTTATCAGCTTTCAGTCACACCTACTGTATCATTATTAGGTTTGCATAAATGATGGAAATTTATCATTTACAAAGTGTAGGAGTGATTTTTTGCTATCGACAAGTTCAAAAAAAAAAAGTTCGCGTTATCGACTAGGTTATATTGAGGGCTTATATTACAATCATTATTTAAATCCAGGTTAGGTCCTATTTTCAGATTAGGTCTAGCAGGACGTCCCGTTTTTGGGGCAACACGGCAATACCAAATTTAACGAGATTATAGGACACTCTACGCGAATCTCACTCTGTGTCGACACGAAACTCGACAGCCATTATTTTGATTCATTGTTAAGTAATCAATGGTCAAAAAATAAAATAATGATTACTGACTGGTGCGACGTCATTTCAGTCTAGAAATGCCGTACGGTAACAGATTATTTTTGTTCTAATATCCGAGATTTTTTATAGTGGTCACACAGTTTAGAAATTCTAATTTGGTTGAAACCGTCAATGATAGAGTTGAGATTAATGCAATTATGACCGTGACTCATGAGAATGCTCATTTAGTTCAGAACTTCATTGCAATTTTCGGGACATGTTCACAACACGACGGAAATACTTTTAGTTCGCGAGGCATAACCAATTTATAATCATATCATATTTTAACTCCAATCTGACTAGGTCATTCAAAAATTACGTCACTACGACTTCACAGTAACGTAATACGGACTTCCAAAATATACTAACTGCCATCCAAGACGCGCAGACGATCACTCGAAATCAAGCAAGCTATTTCTCTCGTTTTCACGTCGTAACGATCCCGAAATGAGAGAAATCGCCGACGTTAGTGAGTTGGCGAAGATTTCGGGCGATCGTAGCTATACTTTGGCTAGGTCTTTGGCGTGATTGTGAGGTCGTGGTGACGTAATGTTTGGATGATGGAGCTAGGTGGGAGTTAGGAATAACATATGTAAAAATGGTTGCGCCACGCCAAATACAAATACTTACATCGTTTAGTGCAGTGGTTCCCAAACTTTTTTTTTCGCGACCCCAATTTCCATAAAATCAAAGCCCCCAGATACTCGCGACCCCACTACTAGGAACGTATAGTAACTTCAGAAATCAGTACTGTATATCAGTTTGATTAACTCAATGAGAACAATGTACCTGTATATCGACTGTAAGTGAACGTTCACGGTGAACATTGACCCAAAAATATGCGAACGAGTCCGGCAATGCGCCGGAAATCGGGGAAAATTGGGAAGATTTGATAACACATGGCATCGTATTGAAACCACAATGTAAAAATCTCTTAAATCAGATATATAACGGTTCTTTGACGAAACATAGACGGACTTGATAAAATGTGTTAGATTGTAAGGAAGCGTATGTTACTTTGAAAATAGTGAGATTTGCAAATAGTAAGATGCTTCTCAATATACATAATATTTTTAAATCTTATTTAGTATGTTCCAACAGTGTCTTTATTAATTTTAGTACAGCGTTAACATATTACAGATTGCTTCAATATTAGTTCTAAAGTAAAGCAGGGCATGGAAGTAAAATAGGAAAAACGTCTACGTAATCACATTTTTCAGGTGCATTTCATTATGGTAGAACTTGTTAAGGTTTAATGTTTGACTAATCGGAACGCTTCGAATTTATGTATGAGACGTCTAAATACGTAATATTGCATTACGAAATGTTCACT